CCCACTAACCAAGTCGCAAACGGCATCATCTACCTACCTAGCCAACATCTTCTTCCTTCGGACAGAGCAAAGCATCAAAATCCTCGTCGTTGGAGGTAGTGGGACTTTACCTTGACCTCAATGACATCGCGCCTCTACTGTACCAGATATATCCACGGGGCTAAAGCTCGTCCAGTCCCTCTTCTCGATATCTGCACGCATAGTCCGTGCTCGAGCCTGCAAAACTGCCCAGTCTTGACTGGAGGGACTGGAAAGACGATACTTTATTTCATCTGAGATCTTCGGCTAAGGTACCACGACTTTGACCTTTCCTTCAGGAGGACCTTCGAGAGGACGAGAACGAGTAAGGTATGAGCATAGAGGTGGAGTCAAAGAGGAGGACATGGAGGATAGTGCCGTTACCGCCGTCGTCACCTTCTCGCGTACTCCATCATCTGGTGGTGGTGGTCTTCGGCCAAGAACAGGGGCGAGTATTATCCCCTTGGTGGAGAGCTATTTGAAGGTTTGAAGGAGAAGATACGAAATGATGATGATGAACTTGACCCTAGGACTGGAAGCTCTGGCAATTGATTTTGATATATTTCAAGAAGAGATATCTGTGAGCTTTCTAGTTCTAGCACACCCAGCGCGGTCTTTTTCGATATCGTACTACCTAGTGTTGGGAAATATCTTGAGGAAATAGGTGGTTACGGAATATTTAGATGGGGAGACCGCAATCACAACAAGGCGGGAAGAATATAAAAGTTAAGTAGCAAGAAAGGATTCCGTGTTGAAATGACCATAGGCTACAAAAGGTAGGATTGTTAAGATAACTTGGGGACAGACACGCACAACTGCCTCTAGTAAGGTCTTTAACATTTATGCCACTGAAAAACGTGTGATGCTTTGATCCTGGGGGTCTTTTACCTTGACACGTTGTGAAGGAAACTCCTGGGCTGTCCAGCAATTGCGCTCTTGAGAAGAGGGAACCAAGTGAATGGCACGTTCACATCTGTTCCGGAATAGTGGGTGGTCTTGCTCAGCAAACATGAATACGAAGGTGCCTATATCCTCGTTCCTCAACCCTTCATTACCGGTCAAGGCTGTGAGGTTCCCATTCAAGTAAATCACCCCTGAATGACGGATGCTAAGTCCTCGTTGTGAAGGTCATGTTGGAACGAGGCTAAGGAACTGATGAGCGGGATTGGAAGGTCTTGGAAGCCCGTCCGTGCCCTGGGTTCCCTTCACTGGGATTGTCCACTACCCAGTCATTCACCGGTCGGCGGTCTCCTGCCGGTAGTATTTCTTTGCCACGCGGGCTCATTTGGGTCCATTCTTTTCCTTGACCACCACACAATCAAGCCTTGTTCTGGCGCGCGGCCTTTCAATCTCGGACAGAAGCCCATATCTCACGCCTCACAGTCGACTCTCCACTCAGTCCAACTTCACTTCCAGCACGCAATCAAACCGGGCGCATCAAGTCCCTAACGCGTAGCTTCGTCATTTGCAAAATTATCGCCTCTGTAGGTCATACCTCCATTCTTCCTCGTCCTCCTCCCCTCCTCGTCCTCCTCCCCTCCTCACCTTCGCTCCTCGTCACATCTGCTAACCCTATTGCAAAGCACCTATCCTGCCATCTCCCCACCTCTTCACCCTCCTCTCTCACCAGTCACTAAGTACACTACCATCGAGATGGCCCAGCAAGACGGCAACGAAACATACGCCGACCTCTACGACGCCTCCTCCGACGCTCTCACCCGCCTTCCCATCCCCTGTCTCCTCCCGGACCTCTCAAACTACTACGCTTGGCAACACGCCCTCTACTTCCACCTGCGCTACAACGGCCTCTTCTACTTTTTGACCGGCCAGGAGCAGTCGCGCTGGGAGCTGCGCTGGCACGAGGCCGGCATGCCGGGTAACGAGGAAGACCGTCCGACCTACTTCGATCGCAGGAACTATATGCGTCGCAACATGCATGCTTACTCGATTTTGTTTTCCAAGATCGGCCATGTTGTGCCCCGCCTGCTGGAGATGGGCTGGGATGGTGATCGCGATTCATTTGGGTTTAGGACGGATTTGCTCTGGGGAAGGATTCAGGAGTTGAGGGAGAGACAGAGGCCAGGCGTGCCTGCTCCAGTGATGCAGCAGCAGCAGCAGCGTGAGCGTGCTCCTGAGACTGAGCAGCGCGAGGGTCAGGGCCGTGTGGTTAATGGTGTTAACGGTGTTAATGGCCATGCTCGTGGTCAAGTCAACGGTGTTCTGGTCAATGGTGTTGGTCGCGTTCATGGTCGCCATCACTCGCAGGCTATTTCGCTGGAGGATGATGATGAGATGGAGTAAAGGGCTGCTGTGACACCAGACGGCAGTTGAGCCCACTCACCACTGTCATCAACACCGAGACTACAAGCGAGCCGCATAGGACACAAATGCATGGAACCTTTACAGCAAGAAACATCATCTGACGACATTTGGGGATAGGAAGATGGAGTGTAGATGCCGCTTATGTGGTGTTGTGGTTATCGGCAAAGTTTTTACAGGACACAGAATCAAGGCTGCACAGGGTAACTTGGCTTTAGCGTGTTTAGCGGTGTTATGGTCACGCTGCATCGAGAGTCGGAGTACTTTGGTAGCCGAGAACACTTCCCTTCACACAGTCACGATTTGATCTTAAAACCGTCGTGACCTGGGTCAGGTATTTAAAATGTATGTGCGGCTCATTCTGGGATTCTTGTGATAGTGTAACCACCCGTTGAGTTGTGCTGAATTTCAGTGTCTCTGGCCTCGGAAGTGCCTCCACCAAGAACATTAACTGGTCCTAACACCTATGGTCCACTATGGTAACAACCATCGCTAGCCCGCTATCTCAGTTCTGTTACAAAGTTGCAGTCCTCGTGATAGCGTCCCATCGCTTGGTTATCCCCTTTGCCATTGCAGCCGAAATGTTAAAAACCCGACAGCCTCCGCGGTTGCCGACCAAGATCGAACCGAAAGTGACTTGATGCCATCCTGAATCCACCCATCCTTCATTGCTTAACGATCCGAAGGGAGATGCCATACTTGTGTCAAGCCATGCGAACTACATTGATCATCCATGATCCTGACCGGTGTCGATAAATCCACCCAACCTCTTCCTGCACATCCAGCCCGGTTACCAGAAACTGCTTGTCTCGACTCTCTGGGAATGGCGTGTCTGTCATGTCATGCTGATCGCTTCGTCGTTGCTCAGGGGCCGAAGAACAAAAACGAGTGGCCTGTAGCTAACTTGTCATAGAAGGTCTCATACTCCTCGATAGTCTCCTCGTCGATGCCGAGACCCTCCATAATCTTCGGGTGAACCTCCACTCCGAAGTCCTGACGCAGCAGGCGGCGCAGGTACAGATACTCAGTCTTGTGGGTCTCATCCTCGATAGGCTCCTCCGGGTTGAACATACGGAGCAGCATCCGGTCCTTGGGCGAGTCACACTCTGAGTCAAGTGTGATATAGCGACAAATGTAGCTCCACAGCTCCTGAGGGTCGAAGCCGTAGTCATCGTCATAGGCCTTCAGGCCAGCGGTGAGCAGCATCGGCATGACCTTGTTGATCTTGCTGTTGATGATGGTGAAGGCGTGCGCGCGGCGTTTGTGCCACGAGTTACCAGACTCGACTTTGGTGTTGGCCTGTCCCTTCTCGTGGGTGCCGTCGATGAAATCCAGCAGGCCATGGTGGTTGAGGTACACGCGCACGGAATACTTCCACTCTTTGACGTTCTTGACGCCCTCCAGCTCAAGGATAGCAGGAAGGAACTCTGCGTGGGGTGAGACCGAGGTGGTACGAGGCATTGCTGATGATGAAGGGCTTGACTGCGGGGCTAGAAAGCGTTGAGTGTCACACGGACATATGCCACA